GTTGACATGTCGTGGGGTTGTTAACCAATGTCATAAAACAATATGTGTACTGACTGTTTAATGAGAAACTGTTTGTTCTGTAAACCTTCATCCAAAGTATAAAAAAACAAAAAAAAGGTCCATATCGGGAGGGTTTCCAGATTGGGGACTGACAGACTTTATTCCCGAGCCCTCACTCGTCTGCATTCACTTCATCTACCTTTCCGCTTCCTAGCTGATGGTGTATGGTGGAGTCACCCCGCAGATGAGAACACGGTGGGTTTCTTTCACAAACTTCCTATGTGCACCACCCCTCAAGGATCCTATGGTCTAAAGAGCTGGCTTTGCTCAGCCACATTCTACTGGCCAGGCACTGTCTTGTTAAGGCTGACAGCACCCTTGAAGGTAGGTACTCTTACGTCCATTTCACAGATGGAGAAGCTGAGGATGATCAGAAGTCAAAGAGCCTCAGGTTATGCAATGAACAGGGATGTGAGTCTGGACTTGAACCCAAAGCAGATAACGGCAAAACCCAGAACCTCAAATGGCTTCCTCACACCCCAGGCTCTTGGTACACTGGGCTCCCCAGGGCCATGCCAGTAAAAGGGCTCAGCCCCCAAGCTAACGAGACTCGTTTCTAGCTCACCTGACCCCCTACTGAAGACCTAAGCAATCCTCAAAGGAATCAGAATGGGGAAAATTAGTCATCTTGACCCAAATACTCCTTCTGAATAAATTTTTTTTAAAAAAAGGCAGTTTGTGTCTTCCCACTTTGGAGCTGGGAGCTAGATCCTGAGACCCTTGCAGGTTCCCTCTGCTGTTCCAGGCACATGGGGGAGGGGGGTGGGCATGACAGTGTGAAAGAAGGGCCTGCAGGCAGAGGAGTGCCAGCTCAGAGCAGCCAGTCAGCCTTTTACTCCACGAACACGTATTGAGCACCTACTGGATGCCAGGCCCTGTCAAAGGCGCTGAAGACACAGCTGGAAGCAGACAGACCAGTGCTGGTCCCATGGAGTGGCAGCCTAATGGCGTGAGGCACCCCACAAGAGGTCAGTGGATAAGAGAAGAAGTTTCCCAAAGGGCTGTGTAGAGCCCATGACTGGTGGAGAGGTGGCCTTAGGGGGCTACTGAGGGTGTCCCTGAGTGACCGCTATTTGAGGGGAGACAAGTCGTTCCAAGATTGGGCAGTCTTCCGGAGGGAGAGAGCTGGCCGGAGCTGTGGCGTGGCCAGAGCACAGAGGTCCTCAGGGATGGGGTAGGGCATGAGGTGGGAGGGGGCGGCACACAGGGGCTCAGCTAAAGATAAAAACACTGAGAGCTTTGTATGGGCCAGGCAGGGGCCAGCCCTTCACCTGCAATCGCGCCTTTGAGCCTCCCCTGTGCTGTTGTTCACTTGGGATCCACCAGCCACTCCTTGGAAACCCCACGGGGCAGTTCTGCTCTGTCCTATAGGGTCGCTGTGGGTCGGGATCCACTCGACAGCACCAGGTTTGATGTTTTTTTTTGTTTATGCTGCTGTTGTCCCACTGGGCAGATGAGGAGTCGAGGCCACAGAGGTTAAAGACGAACTCAGGGACTCACAGTGAGCCTTGGCAAAGATCTTGGGTCAAGACAACTCCAGATACCTGGCTCCCAACCCCCTGCTGACAGTCCTTCAAAGGACAGTCGCCAGGGGGGTCCTTCTCAGCAGCCAGAGACAAGAAGAGGTCCCAGGGAGCCCCCGAACAAGCTCTTGTGGGGTCTGAAGGAGGAGCTGGGGATGACACCTGAGGGCCTCGGCACAGGGCGACTGGTGGGTGGGTAGGGGAGTCTCGAGGTCAGAGGAGGTGCCCACCTGGGGCTGGGCTGAGTGAGGGAAAGCAGGGGACCCAGAGACGGAAAGGGACTTGCCCAGGCCACACAGCCCTAGGTTCCCTGCCCCCCCACAGACTGTCTTCTTGGCCCTCACCCCTCACCCAAGCCCACTGGGGAGGCCAAACCCCCAGCAGCTGCCCACCTAGGGGAGGCCCACCGAGGGGTCCAGAGATGGGGTTCTGGTCCTGCCAAGGCCACTGACCCCTGAGTACCCCCCACCCTTGGGGCAGAGACCCCAAATCTCCCAGCCCCTCCCCCTCCAGTGGTGTGAATCAGCCCCAGCAGGGCCCAAGGGCTCTTAGGCAAGGAAGGGTGGGTGCCGGGGGTGGGCTTAGGCTGTCTCTGGTTACAGGTGCTGGTGGCAGCAGGCGGTGGGGTGGGCTCCAGCCCCCTGCAGCTGTGGCTGGCTGGGGCCTGCCGGGAGGTTGTGGGCCGGCTCCTCAGGTGCCACAAAGGACAAGGATTTTCACACCTAGGTGAGGGCCATCTTGCCGGTCAGCCCCGCCCCCATCAGGCCCTAATGGGCACAGTGGGGGAGGGGACCAGCAGGTGGGGGAGGGGAACCTTCTAGTGGGCTGGCCTGGGTCCTCACTAGCTTGGGGACTCTATGACAATAAATCAGTGCTAAAGAATCAAATCAAAGACGGATGTGAACGTTCCCATGTTCCAGCGCCCTGTCACCTGTCCTTGCGTGGGGGTGACTTGTGCAGTGGGTGCAGGGTGTGGCCTTCCTTGTGAAGGGTGCACCTTCACCTCTTGGCCCTCTCGCTTCCTTCGAGGCGCCCGGTGTTCCGCGGTGCCTCCACCGGGTACACGCGGCTAGATCCCGAAAGGCGCCGAGCGCGGAGCCAAGCCCGGGCCTCGCCTCCCGTAGCCTGGACTCGGGGTTCCTCCCGCCCGCCAGGTCCTCGAGTTGCTTGTGCCGTTCCCCACCCTTCAATCCGGCCGCTCTTTTCGGAGGCAGCAAAACAGCCAGCTCCCGGGAGTCCCTGGAAGGAGAAGTGCAGGGGGCGGCCGCTGGCTCCGTCCCGCTCGCTCCGAGGGTGCTGGGTGAGGGCGGTGCCCAGGCGGGAGGAGAAAGACAGGCGGTCGGAGCAGGGACAGAGACTGTACAGGCAGAGACAAAGTGGAAGAGGCAGAACTTCGGCTGGAAGGCAGGAGCGGAGCAGTCGCATGGGGCGGGACAAGCAGGTCCGGGGCCCAGGCGAGTCAGGGTGGGGGCCAGGGTCCCTCCAGGTGGCACTCGCGGCGCTCGTCCCTGTCCGCCTCCCCTCCCTCGGCCCTGATTGGCAGGCGGCCTGCGACCAGCGGCGAGCGCCACAGCGCCCCGGGCGCCCAGCGA